CTACATTGTCTATATTTGAATATAATGCACTATTTTCTACGAATTATTTGTACTAACAGAAAAGGGAGGATACCAAGTAAATTCATATTAATCATAACTCTATATTTCGATGCATTTCACTTTTATTGGTCTCTGTATTTATGAAGTGTGGACTCTTCTCAGCTCTCTCTTGAATCCATTCTGACTATGTCTATATCATCTATGAATATTTAAAGAAAAAGCAAAACAATACTCCTCCTCCAGTATTTAATATGAGGCCTATTTAACTAATTTGATTATATTAATAAAGTTAGGTAAGTTAGTTAATTATAAAACATATGACATATTTTTTCTAAAATACTATAATCATTTTTCTTAATATCCTCCCTCCCTCATTTACTTGATTATGGTTGAGAGAGTATGATAATTTAGGAAAAACGGATAAATATGAGAAATATGTATTATATTTAAGATCAAAATTAATTTAACAACTAGCTCCTATATTAAAGATTGGAGGAGTAGAAAATAGGGATCATTTGGTATTTATAATTATATACGGAATGACATGAAATGCATGGAAACGGATCAATGTTTACCTAATTAAAAATCTTGAAAAAAGTTGTGGTTTTTATATTTATTTAGATAAATATAAATTTAAAATGTCTCCATTAATTTCACACGATTTATTTTTATCTTTTGCAATCTTTTATTCTCATCTTTTTCTTAGGGTGTGTTTAGATAAAACCAAACCGTGGTTTGGAAAAGTGATTCTGGAGAATAGATTCAGGAAAGAATAGATGTTATGAAAAAGTGATTTTGAGAAATGAGAGTGTTTGGATAGTTGTTATCAGAATCACTTTTTATATATACAAATTACTAAAAAAAAGACATAAGTTAATATGATAATTACAGAAAAATAGATTTTATGATATATTTTAATTTGAAGGAATAAAATTGTTAATAATATATTTTTTATTAACATAATTAACAATACATAAGATAATATAATTAATAAATAATTAATATGTATATATATTTATAAAATATAAGATTAAATATGTTTATAAAAAAATAACAAGATACATATCCTATATACAGAAGAATCAACGTTGACCCACAATATATATTCATTCTCGGTGACCGAATTTAATCACAGAACTGGTTTCTTTTCTTTGCTTTGCTCTTTTTACCCCTCTTTTTTCATTTTCCTTACCATTCATTATAATTTTAACTGTTGAAATTCAATATTTTATAAAATCATTATTTTGAATTTATATGAAAAAAGTATAAATAAATTTAAACTACTAAAATTTAATTTGAATAATTCATAACTAAATTAAAAAAAGAGGAAAAATAAATTAATTAAAATAAAAGAGAGAAGCCAATTCCAATAGTTACATGGCAGACACAATTTATGTTTCCTCCATCAGCGCCACTCTTTCCTCCCTCCTTCATAGTAAGAACAAAAGATAGCCATAATATAAGAATTAACTGAAAATTTGATTTAGTTCTCAATATAATACTCTAATCTATTTTATCTCCCATATTCATTTATTTTTCCTCCAAAATAGTCCTTATGGAAATTACACATGTCAAAAGGTTTTTATTCTAATCTATATGATTAACAAAAATATTTTGAAGAAGACAATACACATTTGTTATAAATAACTAACTAAACTAATTTTTTTAATATTTATAAATTAGTTATCTAGCTCTTATATTAAGAACTGGAAGTAGTAATTAAAAGAAGTAAAACAGATAATATAGGAATGGCTGTTAATGAATAAGTAAAGGATTGAGTTCAAATATTGCCATGGTGCCTGAACATAGACATCTTTCACAAGCTCTACAACGTGCATGCCTTTGAAATATTAGAATGGAAGTCCAAAAATTCAAGACGCCGTCACCGTTAACCTAATCAATTGTAATACAGTATATTCGATTCTAAATATAAAAATTAAATAAAGGGTTTATTTAATAAAGGGTTTATTTAATTTTTAGTATAAGACCTCAACAATTCACTTTTTCTTTTAAATTTATAATTTTTCTCGTCAATATTCCTATTAATTACATGTGGTAGGGAAATTTTTATTAATGGCAGCTATAATGCACATAATTAAAAAAAGTATTATAAAAAAATCAACTTGTAAATCTGCTTTTTTTTCTAAATTTATAATTTTTTCTTATAAATATTCTTATTAATTAATGAAATTTTCTTCAATGGGAGCTATAATGCACATAGTTAAAAAAGGGTATTGTGAAAAGAAAAATTAATATGTATTTGTTATAAATAACTAAATTAATTTTCTTAATTTACTTAACTTAGAAATAAGAGATAATATACTTGCATATCATACAGACTACTCTAGAAAGAAATCTCATTAACCTTTATGTATAACCAAGAAGGGAGCACTATGGGCAATAGATAGCCTCCTCGTAGCTATCTAACCGGTGACAATCCAATCATGGACCTTAAAACAGCTAATATGAGCCCTTTGATTATGGAGCCATAACGAATTATCTAACTCTTGTTATTGTTGAACTCTCCAATCAAGATTTAAATTCTTATTAGGAGAGATATTCACATTTAATACCTAATAATATTTTATATAAGATTGCTTCTAATAAAAAAAGATACATATGCTTTAGCAAAAAAAAAAAGAAAAAACTCTCCCTGCTGAAGCCAATCGCCTCCCTCGAGTAGGGATATTCATCATTGTCTAATAATGGAAAATAGTGGCTTAGATTGTACGAACCTCTCTTAAATTTGCCACAAATCCTTGCAAAAGGGGAGGTGAACCATGTTTCATCGATACAAATTATAGCATGGACAATAAAATATACTATCTCATGATTTTAATATAAGAGCTAATTGAGAGTTAAATTTGATCTTAAATATAAGATCTCAATCCATTTTGTCTTCAAAATTTATAAATTTTTTTTAAAAATATTCCTATTACTTCTAAGAAATTCCTACAAAATTAAAATGTACTTCCAATACACATCATTAAAAATGACGTTTAAGAAATCCAGCATATATTTGTTAGAAATAGCCAATTCAACTAAATCCCTAATAAATTTAATAAAATATAAAATACAAAAAATAAGAATTTTTCTATTATTTATATATTTATGCTTATAATAATTATTTATTTTATTTTTATATTGAATATTTTAATCCAATTTGAATATTAATTGATAAAATATTTATATTTATTTTTTAGAATAATTTTATAAAATATCTCCAAAGCTTAGTGGTTCTCCTGCACAACCTTCGCGGATTAATGAAATGGGAGCTTGTTTATTGGGCCTATTCACGTGTAAAGGTTAGCCCATATTTATTTTGGAAATTTTTTTTCGTTAAAGCATACCTATTATATACAATCTTATTCGAGACATTGTCGGGTATTAAATATGAGCTCCTCTCCCGGTTAGGATTCGAATATTGGCTCGTTACATTGTGAAGGACTAATCCCTTCTGTTAAACCGAATCCCGTTGGTATTTTGGATTTGTGTATTGAGCAATGTCCACGTCATTCTCACCTCATGTTACCTATTGTTATGTGATGTAATTTTGTCTTGCTTTTAATAAAAAGATGCTTATGCTTATGGCGGTGGGGATTTAAGTATCCACATTATATCATGTTTAGTTTACTCCTTTAGTTATATATCACTCTTTTGAGCTCAAATATTTCAAGTGAATATTATAATATGACGTTGATTCGCTTGTGTTTTTGTTATTGAACTAATGGCCAGATAAAGTTTTCCTAATCACCACAAGTTTAATTTAAATAGCTTAGCCGCACTTCTAGATTTTCTTTTATGCTTTGAAGGAAGACTAGATTGAAACTTAACTAACTAAAATAAAACTTAATATAAATATAAAAGACTAAATATATACTTTAACTAACTATATATACGCTTATTTTTCTAATTACAAACTAAAAGCCTCCATCCATTTTCTAATTTTTTAAATTCAATATCAATCAATCAATCAATACCACTAAAAATGTAAAAATTAATCTTTAGCCAAGCCAGTATCACTTTCATTCTCTCTCTGACTTCACTGTTCATAACAATATACAGTGATTGCTTCAATCAACAGCGTCAGCCCCTTTGTGTGGCTTTGGTGGAAACTCCACTCTCATAGATTTGGTCTCATCACAACTCTGATTTAAAGATGAGATTTTTCTTTACCTTCTTTATTTTTCTCTACTCCGCCATTCATTTGATTCTTTACCAACAGTTTAAAGTAAAAAGATTTGGTAAAAATTAGAAGACCAAACATAATCTTAAATATTGTTTTAGGGAGTGCTTGGAACCGTTTAACAGCTTCCACAAACACCCTCTTCATTTTATCGAGAGGAGATGAAGAACCAAAAAATTTAAGGGACATACACACATATCAAATACTAAGAGGATGGGGTTATGTTTTAAAAATAACAGGGACATCATGTGTAATTCAACCAAAAAATAATAATATTATACTATCTCGTATCCTAATTATAAAATTTCATTTATAGTTTATAAACGAGTTCTTATGATTAGAATTAAATATCATAATAATATTAAGGGGTTGATAACTTAGTATAATATCTTTGCTCTCTCAAATTTGCACAAATCTTACCTTCAGTCCATCGAATTTAAAACTATTAATTTTTGGCCCCTCAAAGAATAAAATGATTCAAATTTTTATTAAATTATACTGATCAATATTTTGAATGGAAAGAAACTTAAGAAATTAAAAACTATGATTTTAAATTTGAGAGACCAAGGCTAAGATGAGGAAAAATTTGGGGCATAAAAATTGTATTAACTGTAATATACTAATATTAATATCAATTACTCCAAATTTTCTTCCATGAAATTATCCTACAAGTTATGATATTCCAAAATGGTCCTTGGGGAAACTAGAGGTTGAGGCGCCATGGCCAAATGTTGTGAAGCAGGCGGTAACAATCTTCTCTTTCTCTCTCTTTCTTTTATTTTGGTGACTATTATATTTCTTTTATCCATGGGCCATGGCTTCTCTCTCTCACTCCACTCTTCTTCCAGTCTCTTCTCTCACCACATCTTCTTCCTCCTCCTCCTCCTTCCACTGTTCCTGTTCTTCCCCATCTTCTCAGTCTCTTCGTTCCAAATTCCGATTGTCCTCACTGCCTCGATTCCTCTCTAAGGGTAGACCCAAGAAGAAACCAACGCCACCTGATGGGCTTTTGATGATCATCAATCCCATTTTGCTGTTTAACGGTGTCAGTAGTTCCGCTTTCAATTTCGATACCCAGACCCTTCTCGCCACTGTTAGTGTTCTCGCTGCAATTGCTCTCTCCTTGTTTCTTGGTTTTAAGGTAACAACTTTATGTTTCCATTCTGTTTCTTCTATTTTGGTTTCGGTCTGTTCATTGTAGTCCACGGGCATCACTCTATCACTCGGATGTTCGGTTCGGTTTTAACCTTACAGAGTTTCGGTTTATTAATGAAATTGAAACTGAATCAGATTTTGAGTTGTGTAATGAAGTTATACAGAAGATTCTCTCACGGCACCATTTACTGTGAGCTCATCTTTGGAGTTGCAAAATGGGATTTTACTCTTCTTTCGATACCACATGGTTTCTTTCTTTTCTTTTCTTCTCTCCCTCCAAGTCACTTTATGATGAGGCTTTTTCCAATATCTCGTTCAGAAAATGTGCATAAGCGACATGCATTGCACCCATAGATGCATTCAATGTTGCTTCCTATTTTTATACTGCTTCTGGTAACATTGTGGGTCAACGTTGATTCTTCTGCTGCTAATGTGATAAGGATTTTACAGGGGGATCCGGTGCCTTGTGAGCGTTGTGGTGGCAGCCGTAATGATCTTTGTATATCTCGACTTCAGATTGTTGTGCTTTGCTCACAATGGGCATTTTCTGCTTTCAAATGTTGTGCATGCACATAGACATCTTCCACAAGCTCTACAACATGCATGCTTTTGAAATATCAGACTGGAAGTCCAAAAATTCAAGGCCCCCGTTACCCCTAACCTGATCAACTGAAATATAGTATACTACTCCGGATTCTAAATATAAAAAGTAGATAAAAGGTTATTTTAATTCTCAATATAAGACTTCAATAGTCCATTTTTTCTGCTTAATTTATGATTTTTCTCCTAAGTATCCTTATTAATTACATATAGTAAGGAAATTTTCATCAATTACAGCTATAATGCACATGGTTAAAAATGATACTATAAGAAAATTAACATGCATTTGCTACAAATAACTAACTTAATTAATTTTTTTATCTATTCAAATTAAATAAATAACTATAGTAGATAATATATTTTTTTAATATAAAAGCTAGTTGATAGTTAAATTTGATATTAAATATAAAATCTCACTTCATTTTTTCTCCAAAATTTATAATTTTTTTCTCAGAGTATTCCTATTGATTGTAAGGGTTTCCTACAAAGTTAAAGAATACTTCTGATACACATGATTAAAAAGGATGTTACATATTTGTTACAAATAGCCAACTGAACCCAAAAATTTAAGTATGCCCATTATATCATATTTAGCTTTACTCCTTTAGCTATATTTCACCCTTTTGAACCCAAATATTTCAAGTGAATATTATAATATGATGTTGATTCGCTTATATTTTTGTTATTAAACTAATGGCCCGATAAAGTTTACCTCATCATTACCACAAGTTTAACTTAGGGAGTATTTGGATGAACACTAAACCATGATTTTAAAAGTAATTTTACAGTATACAAAATAAATATGTGAAAAAACCTGTCTCGATTTGAAAAAAAATATTTTTTAAAAAACACTTTTTTAGTTACCATTAGATTTTCGTTTATGCTTTGAAGAAAGACTAAATGGAAACTTAAATAACTAAAAGGAAGCATGATTTAAATATAAAAGGCTAAATGTAAAAATCAATCTCCAGCCCAGCCAAGCTGGTATCACTTTCATTCTCTCTCTCATTTCACTGTTCATAACAATGTAAAGTGATTGCTTCAATCAATAGTGTCGGCTTTTTTGTGTGGCTTTGATGGAAACTCCACTCTCATAGATTTGCTCTCATCTCAACTCTGATTTAAAGATGAGATTTTTTTTTACCTTCTTTATTTTTCTCTACTCCATTCGTTTGATTCTTTACCAATAGTTTAAAGTAAAAAATTTAGTAAAAATTAGAAGTATAATCTTAAACATTATTTAAGTTTTCATAAATCTTACCTTTGGTCCATCAAATTTAAATTTATAGATTTTAGATACTTAAGGGATAAACTGATCTAAATTTTTATTAAATTATATGAATTAATGTTTTAAATAGAAAAAAATTGAGAAATTAAAACTTATGATTTTACATTTGAAAGACCAAAATTAAAATGAAAAAAATTTGACGGATAAAAACTATATTATCTGTAATATTAATATCAATTGCTCCAATTTTTTTCCATGAAATTATCCCACAAGTTATGACATTCCAAAACGGTCCTTGGGAAACTAGAGGTTGTAAGGCGCCATGGCCAAATGTTGTGAAGCAAGGCAGCAACAATCTTTCTTTCTTTTATTTTTATGACTATTATGTTTCTTTTATCCATGGGCCATGGCTTCTCTCTCTCACTCCACTCTTCTTCCACTCTCTTCTCTCACCTCATCATCATCTTCTTCTTCCTCCTCCTTCCCCATCCACTGTTCCCGTTCTTCCACATCCTCTCAGTCTCTTCGTTCCAAATTCCAATTGTCCTCACTGCCTCCATTCCTCTCTAATTAAGGTTAGACCCAAGAAGAAAGCAACGCATCCTGAAGGGCTTTTGATGGTCATCAATCCCATTTTTCTGTTCAACGGTGTGAGAAGTTCCACCTTCGATTTCGATACCCAGACCCTTCTCGCCACTGTTAGTGTTCTCGCTGCAATTGCTCTCTCCTTGTTTCTTGGTTTTAAGGGAACAACTTTTGTGTTTCCTTCCTGTTTCTTCCATTTTGGTTTCTATCACTCGATGCTCGGTTCTATCTCATTCCTACAGAGTTTCTGTTCGTCAATGAAATTGAAACTGAATCAGGTTTTGAGTTGTGTAATGAAGTTATACAGAAGATTCTCTTACGGCGCCATTTACTTTGAGCTCATGTTTGGAGTTGCAAAATGGGATTTTACACTTCTTCCGATACCAAATGGTTTCTTTCTTTCTTTCCTTTTCTTTTCTTTTCTTCTCTCTCCCTACAAGTCACTTTATGCTGATTTTTTTTTGTCCCCCTTCCTCTTTCAATATCTCTGACAAACTCAATTATTTTTATATATTTTGATATCTTTTATATGGGTTTTGTCAACTTAATTAGTCCCTTTTGACCTTAATTGATTGATTAATTGATTTAATATGTTTTATTTTGAATTATTATTTTATAGGGGCAAAATTGTCATATTTTGGTTTAATTGTGACTAATTGATTTTTTAGGACAATTAATGCTACCTTATCTTTGAATTTTTGCTTGCAGGTTTTTGGAAGATTTTGAAAATAAAAAAAAAAGAAAAAAAATAAATTAAAAAAAAAGAAAAAAAAAATAAAATAATAAAAGGGGGGAGCAAAACGCATATCTAATATTCATCTTCTTCATTCGGGGGGACGGAACCAACTGAACACGAAACACACACACGCTAGCGAGGGGCGGCAGAAAAACAAAGCAACACACGGAGGAAGACGCTGAACGAGCTGGCAGCGCTGGAGAAGGACTGAGGGACGTGCACAAGAGCGACACACTATTCATCATCTTCTTCATCTTGGCGGCCAGAAGAGTACGCGAGAGAGCTGGACGGCGTGAGGGACCTGGTAGTAAAACAGAGTGGCAGCAGCGTGAACGAGACCAGCGGCAAGGGAGAGTGACAGAACGAAGGACCAGTCTACACCGTGTGTACTGTTCCGTCGCTGTCTTTGATATCTCCACTGTGTTCTCCATGGCAGCCCATAGCAGAAGACTGATTGTGGCATTCCTTATGGCAATCCGTGGCTAGAGCGTAATAATCCTCTAATTCAACAACAATGGCAGGAGTTCAGGTCATTAAAGGGGAGTTTTAGTTGCTTTAATTTCTTACTCAATAATTGTTTAACAATTCCTAGGTCTTATGATAGTTTTTCTGATTATTGGGATAATTGTATTGCTTAATCTGATTATCTTTGGAGATTATTGTTACTGGATTATTGTTTAGTATTTGACATTGAGCTGTTTATAGCTTTGATTTCAATTATGATATTGTGGTTATGACATTTGTATTGATTTTGGAGTTAATATATTGTGATTTTCTAAGGTGGCTTAGAATTTTGGATCATATTGTCTCTTGCTAGCTTTAATTATGTTATTTTGGATTTAAGATTTCTAATTAAGCATTGGTTTTTAGCATCCTTAATTCTATTTTACTATTCTGGTTGCAGTTAGTAAGTTGGGATTTTAGGAAAATTTTTTGTGGCAACTCGAGGTGGCTCAGTTGTTGGATCAAAAGCTTAATTATAATTCTTAATTCATTATTTTTAACTCCCACATCTTTTAGAGTGATGATTGCCTGCGTTGTTGAATTGGAGGATTGATTTTTATCAGTGTTATTTGTGTGTCTCATTTTCATTTCTTTAATCTTCATTCATTTTAATCGTTTTTACATAAAAACAAAAAAAAAGTATTTTAATTTCAATTTAATTCATGGTGTTTAATTAGAAATTCTCAAATCAAGAATCCTTTTTATAATTTAGGTTACTTGCATTTATTTACTAGGATTTAATTTCGTTTTCGGCTCCTCAAAGTGAATACGACCCGGATTATGCACTATATTGCATTAATTCGGTTAATTTTTGGAGTAATCCCAAAACGACAAATTAGGGGCAAGTTGAAGAAATTGTTTCCCTAGTAATTAAGTGTCAAGTAGCCTTGATTGGGGTTCATTTGTTGAGCCTTTTTGGTTTTCATTTTTGTTAGTTTTTGCATTTTTTTTCGTAATTTGCATTTGTTTCTTTTGATTTTTCATAGTATTTTTTTCCTTTGCATAGAAATTTTTTTTTTCATAAATACAACTAAATATCTTGATTTTTCATTCATTGCACATGTACTCGCATTGCATTGCATTCATTTGTTTTCTTTTGCTTAATTGCTTCTGGTTGATTGATTGTTTATGCCAAGAAAGGGTAGGTCTAAAAGCCTAGTTCCTTCCAATCTTGAGCTTCAAAGTTCTTTAAGGGAAGTTAGACAAGACCAAAGGGTAGAAAGGACTAGTGAGGTTGAACTAAACAATTTAACTGATCTAGATTTGGTGGTTGACTTAGGTGACATAATGGAAACAGTTAATAATCCTAATGGTAACAACAATGGTGGTAATGACAGAGGGGGCAATGGACATAATGGGGAACATGATAGAGTAGGAGAGAATAATAGAGATAACCCTAGAAGAAGAACCATTAGGGAAGCCACTACTTTTGATGCAAATTATGATCCTTTTAATGTTGCATGCCCTAATATTGATGTTAATTTTGAGATTAAAAGTCTGTTGCTTAATTCTTTGCCTAAATTCTATGGTTTGACAGGTGAGGACCCGTATAATCATCTGAAATCTCTCTCTATGGTATGTGCTAGCATGAAGCCGATCGGGGCTAATCTGGATGAGGTTCTTTGGAAGGTATTCCACTTGTCTCTGGAGGGCAAAGCGCAAGAATGGTACATGAGCTTGCCTAGGCATATGGCAGATGCCTACCATAACTGGAACAACCTTAGAAAAGCATTCTTAGAGAAGTATTTCCCTGCTTCCCGGACATCTACATTGAGAAAAGA